TCAGGATCTACCTCCGCTGCAGCTCTGCAGTTGAAACAGCCCAGTTCCTGCTATATCTGCCCACCCAGCTCTTACTTCATTTCAACTACGGAGTAGCAGCAGGGGGTAGTTCCTGGACCTGGCGCAGAGCTGGGACTGAGGCTTCTTTCCTTATTGACTAACCATCTAGTCTATCAACTAAATGTTTAGTTAATTACTCACTCCTACCACCGCTGCTTTATTTGCCATAACACAAATATAATCATGCTCCAACACTCAGCCCCAGCCACTCAGGACTCTCAGAAGCAACGCCAGTTGCCCATAAAAGGTTCAGGCAGGGATGCGGGGGAGAAATGAGAAATTCCGCAGGAAAAAAGTAAAATTTTGCAAGGAACATGAATTCTGCACAAACTCTGCATTGGACAGTGATACTTCTGCAGGAATTAATACTATCATGATGACTAAACCAAGAGAGAAGCAGCCCTGGTTGCAACAGTGCAGAACCTGAAGGTGATCATAAAACTACGTGTCTAATGAAGAGACTTAAAAGTTCTGTCTTCTTCTCCCAAGTTATAGGTGGATGATAACGTCATGCCAACCTGGGTACCCTTAATTCCATATTAGCAGCTGTTTACACAGCAATTCTTATTGTATCAGGAGTTCATGTTTAACACAAAAGTACTACAATCATACTATAAGAGATTTTGCTTTGTCTGTGTAGATGGGACCAAACACTGTTACGCTCTGTTACCACTCAGTGTTGTAAAGATCAGAGTTATAACATGGAGAGGATGTTTCAACAAAGCTAGTGTCCCAACCCTGGAGAATACAGCTGGCCAAGAAGAATCAGCTGTATGTTGAAAGGTCATATCCCAACCCACTGGAAAGAAAGACACAGAGTAAAGTAAGGGAGAGCAGAACAAACTGATCAACTAATTTCTTTTAAGTTATTATGCAGATAGGATATTTTTCTATTTTTTCTATTTTCCTCCTATCCCTTTGCGGTACTAATAGGTCATCCAAAGCAAAGAAAGAAGGAAATCATTGGAAGGAATCAATAGCATCTGTCAAGCCATATGGGTCCACAAGCCACACTTTAGGCAGGTATGTCACATGGAGAGCTTGAAGCTATAAGGTCACTATAGATTGCTTATGAGTGGAAAAAGCTGAAGCTTACATATTATTTTCATTTAGATTTTTATTTCAGGTCTCACTCTAGGCATCCAAAGGCAGTTGCCATGCCCTCATTTACCAGAGACTGTACAAAATCCCATGGCTAACAGAGCACACCCAATTTAAAAATGCTACCTGGCAACTATCATGCTGTGTGACCTGAACGCTGCACTCCCACCAGATCTCACAAGCTAAGGCAGTGATAGAGTAGCACACTAACAGGATGAAAGATCAAGGCAGAACAATAAAATGTTCCTATGGGTACACACTTGCCTCCAAGACGATAAAAGAGATGAAAGATCAAGTTAGAACAATAAAATGTTCCTATGGTTACACACTTGCCTCCAAGACGATAAAAGAACAAAAAGTCTCACATAGTGTTACAGAAGTAAATACAGGACTATGTAGCACTTTAAAGACTAACAAGATGGTTTATTAGATGATGAGCTTTCGTGGGCCAGACCCACTTCCTCAGAGCAAATAGTGGAAGAAAATTGTCACAACCATATACCGTATACCAAAGGATACAATTAAGAACACATATGAAAAGGACAAATCAAATTTCACAACAGAACGGGGATGCGGGGGGGGAGGGGGGTAAATTTCTGTGAGCTAATGATATTAGAGGTGATAATTAGGGAAGCTATCTTTGTAATGGGTAAGATAACTAGGGTCTTTGTTAAGGCCCCCCGCGCAAAGTGTCAAATTTTAGCATGAATAACAGTTCAGAGGATTCCCTTTCAAGTGCAGTTTTAAAAGGCTTTTGAAGCAGGATGCAGGTAATTAAGTCATTGAGACAATGTCCTTTCTGGTTGAAATGGCAAGAAACTGTTTTTTCTTTGTGATCCTGTCTAATATCTGTTTTGTGGGCATTGATCCTTTGGCAAAGTGTCTGAGACGTTTGTCCAATGTACATAGCAGACGGACACTTTCGGCACATGATAGCATAAATTATATTTCTGGATGTGCAGGAATACGTAGTCTTGATCTTATAACTCACTTGGTTAGGCCTAATAATGGTATCAGCAGAGTGAATATGTGGACAAAGCTGGCAACGGGGTTTGTTGCAAGGGAAGGTACCAGGGTTGGTATTAGTGTGGTATGTC